GCTGGGGCAAAGGAGAACAGGACTTCTCAGAGCCTTTAATATGCGAATGTGCCCTATAACTTCCCAAGAGCAGTTAGGTGACCACAGTTCTTCCAGACACACTTGGGGACACACTGATGTGGACTCCGGTGCCGGGCCTGCCACGAGCAAACGACTCGGGTCCCAGGCCCCCATTTCCCAGATGGATCCTGCAGACTGTCACTCCTTCAGAGACCTCAGGAAGTACTGGCTCCTTCCCAGGGTTGGGTAATTTGGGGAGGAAGATCAGTAGTCCCAAAAGGCCAGAGAGCAGAGAGAAAAGATGGCTCCAGCCTGGGCTGATGACTGAGGGGGGTGAGTGGGTGGGAAGTTCTCCCGGCTTCTCTGCTCTACGATTATGGCAATTTGTTTCTCCAAGAGGTCATTTGTGGTAGGAAACATAGCCCAGAAATTAAACTAAATATACCCAGTCCCCAGAAGAGCAGGGACAGTGGTGGCGCCTGACTGGTGGGGGAAGGACGGCAGAGATATTAGGTTGGGATGTCATTGCACACAGCTGAGTTTTAAGGGTTGGGAGGAAAAACGGTTTGAGCTCCCGAGGCCCGGCCTGGGTTGAAGTGGTAGAGGCACAGGTTTGAGTTCGGGGAAGTGGTCCCATTCCTTCCCATCATGCCTCTCTTTGTTGTCACCCCCTCACCCCCGTACCCAACTGCTCACCAGTGCTCTGCCCTTTTGTTTCTTAGAGGTTGCTTCTGTCCCCATCTCCCTTGGGCCCCCAAACCCACAAAGCTTTACCAGCTCTGTCTTCCAGAATGAACCGCCTCCCTTCTCCCTGGGGAAACGCCTACTGCTTCTAGGAGGCTGTTAGGAGACAAAAGGGCCAAAAATCTAATTTGCACTACAGTTATGAGGACTGATAGAGCCACATAGCAACAATCTGAAAGGGCGGTGTTAAATTTCTTAGCCCAAAGGGTCTTTAGCAATCTCCTCATGTGGTTTTCTGAGATTTTGTTGTAGATCTTAGGTGCCATTTCAATACGTGAAGCAGATCAGTATACAGGTGCTGTGGGCGAGAGGGAATCATTGCCTGCTTTTTCAGCGGACTTTGGAACAATGCTTGTAAACCACGGATTACCTGCCTCATTCTCAAGGAAACTCAGGCTCAGGTAAAGGAAATGACTGGTCCAAGGTCACAGGGTCAGACAGTGACAAAGCTGGGACTTGTCCCCAGGTGCCCTGCCCTATAACCCCCCCTGGGTGTTCATGTCTCAGCCCGAATTCTGGCCGTTGAGCTCCAGGCACGGTTCCCACCAGCTCTGCCATCTCGGTGACACAGACAAGGATCATCACAGCCCGTGTGTGTAGCCATCCTTCCCTGTGTCTTTCACTGCTCGGGAGCTTTCCTCTGCCCTGCTAGAAGTCACCCCTTTTCCACTGCTGCTCACTTTTTTTTTCTTGTTAATTTTTGATTGCTGCTGAGAACAAATGCAAAAAGAAAGGCAGAGACACATTTCAGATTTTGCTCACTGCGTGTTTTCATTTTTAATTAAATAAGTCAAGTAAGCCATCAAGTGATGGTTCACATTCTGTTCCACAAAGCAGACCCTTACTGGCAGTGGCCCCTGTGTTTCCAGGAGACGGCAGACGGCAGCCATGGCAAGGACATCTGGGACATAGGACAGCGAGGGGGCTGGTGGCAATGAGGCTGAGCAGAACAGGCACTACACATACACACGTGTGGACACACATGGCCACAAAGGGAGTGTCCCATACCACGTGGCCATGAAACGTGACACAGGGCCGAGATCTTGGCAAAGAGTTTGTGGGATCCAGGAGGGGGCAGGGGAGCCAGGCAAACTTTGCCTGAAACAGATGAGATGGAGATTTCTGGGGTGCCCAGTTCAAGCCCAGTGGTAGAGGAAGCAGAGTCTTTGCCCCCCAAAAATACTTGGGTGTACATTGTGAGCTGTGCCCACGGGGATGGCAGCGCGTCCATATCCTTGGAAACACACACCTCACTCGTCCCCCAGGCACAGTCATGGAATGACAAAGGACCCCAGACCAAAGCATCTGGATCTCCCAGCTCTTAAGACTGAATTTGCCAATTCTGCTTCCTCTTTTTGAGGTAAAGGGCGGCTTCCACGATTCCTGAAACTGTGGGCAGCTGAGAGGGGATGTGGCTGAATTCAGGAAACATTCAGGAAGCCTTCTGCCTCTCAACCAGCTGGACCACAGCCTGGCGATCTCCACTAGCAAACCCACCAACCTGGGACCCTTGGAGCTCAGTGGATGCTCCTTCTACTTTGTGCAGATGGGCAACCCCTACTTACCCGTACTTGGCTTCTGCAGATGCATTTCCCTGTGCCCACCCTCCTTTCTTCCTGCCCCAGATAGCCATCCCTTCGGGACCTGCCTTTGCTTTCAGCCTTGGGGACAGGAGCAAGGGACTGCCTCAGGGACACGGCCATCTGCTCTTCTGGTCCTCTCCTTCATAATCCAGGGCCTAGTGAAGGGCAGGCCGTACAGTCAATTAGAACAGGACCTAATCTGGGACCAGGGCTGGAAGAGACCTTTGGGGTCAGGACCAGACCATCTGATGCTTACCTCGCCAGGCCAAGCGCCCATCTCCTGGGACAGGGATCCCCTGACTTCCTGCTAGAACTTGCTCCATCATCAGACAGGACAGTGGTGGTGTGGAAAGACGCTACTGTAATGGGTTGGGTGGGCCCTCTGCTCTCAGGGGTCCTGTCAGCAGCTGCCCCATTAGACGAGCGCCTGGCAGAAGCTTCCAGGCTGAGGCTACTGGCAGACAGGGAGCCAATCTTCATTAAACATTTCTTTCTATTCATTTAGTTATTTTCAAGTATACGTATCACCTAAAGGGACCAAAGGCTAATTTCGTTCATGTCCTTCAACCTTAGTTAAGAACTTGGTGATAATGTGCAGTGATGTGGTATGGGGAGGAGGAGGGCCACAGAGCTGAGAATCTGCTGCTTTTTTCCGCTCTGTGGGGACTCAGGAACCCTGCTCCCAAAGACCCCTGCCCCCAACCTGGCGCCCTTATCCCCTCCAGCGTTTACCAACAAGGCCAGAGGAGAAGCCAGGAATAGGCAGCTGCGGTTAACAGCCTGTGGGTGTTAAGACACTGCCCTGTCTCACTAAGGCCTGGAATGTTCTGAACTATTTATACAGGCCAGGCTAAAGAGGTCTTCATCAGGAAAAAGAAAATGAGTAAACACTCATTCCTGAATGGGACTCTTGTTCTGGAGAAGCTGGCAGCCCCAAAGGTGAGGCCTCAGCTGCTCCCTCCATCAGCAGGCAGGTAGACACGGTGCAGGGGGTGGGGAGGGGGACACTAGAGCTGACAAGAGCAGAGACGCCTGGGCTGGCCTAGGCAACAGGGGAGACATTTGCCCCAGATGGGCCACCTTCCTCGTCCCAGCTGCCTGCTGAAAACCCAAATGCATACCTGAACCAGGTCCCCCAGAGTGTAAAGTCAGTAGTCACCCCACCCTGTCCTTCCCCAAACCCTGAGGGTTCCCAGGGCGCTGCTGAGCACTCTTGAGTTGTGTCCCATTTCAGACACCAGGGCAAAGGGAAATACAGCAGAAAGGGCCTTCAACGTCGCATCATCAAAACTACAAGAAAAAAACAAGGTACCTCCTTAAGCAATGCACCAAGAACAGTCCAACACCCCCGGCCCTTGGGCTTTGCTCTTCTCTTGTATTTTGAATCGTCTTCTTGGAGTGTCCTCCGTGTATGGCGCGAGTCAACGGTTTCTATTACTGTTTCTCATCTTTCTTGATTTGGGTACAGCTTTGAGTCCCTGCAAATAAGGTATTTTATGTCTCTTTGTCACAAAATAAATAAATAAAGTCAACTTGTAGTGTACAAATTGTCAATGTCCTGAGAAGTCCCAAAGGTCCATTCTCGGCACTGTCCTCAGAGCTCCGGGGTGGAGACCTTGGCTTGAGGCACAGGAAGGAAGAAGTCTGCTGTCCACACCAGGGCGGGGGTGGGGGGGGGCAAGAAGAGCCCCAGAGAGAGGTGCCTGCCTCCATCCCTGCCCCAGCCCCCACCAACCACAGGTGGGACGCAGTGCAGGGAGCAGGGTGGTGTAGGGGGAGGAAAACCCAGCACTTCTGGGCTCACCAGAAGGCTCTTGGGTCTCACTCTGCCCCAGAGTCAAGTTTTCAGGGCTGGAATCCCTTTGGACGCCAAATTTGAGCCCCTGCACCACTTATTCTGGGACTGGAAAGCCAAGACTGGAGACATCCTTGAATGACTGTAGTCCACGGTGATGGAGACCCAGCAGCTCCAATGCGGTCATGGGCACAGACCCCACAAAATGGCTACGGTCCTCAGCGTCTCAAACAGCAGCTTCTGGCCAGGACACAATCCCCATGGCAGCACCAGCTGGACTCAGATCCTGTTTCCCTTGTGTCCAAATTACTCAGACCGAAACTCAGCCCTCTGGGTTTGACAACAGGACAGATCTGACAGAGGAGTTGTCCAGGAAATCAGAAACAGCCCTAGTAAACTCTGCAGCTCTTCAAGGTCTGAGGGAGACCGAGTTCTGCTCCCCAGTGTGGGGACATTTGCTGCTTGGCCACAGGCCCCTGACCCCCCTGCCCCCCCCCCCCCAGGAAATTCATTTGGACTTTTGAGATGTTCAAATCTGGCCTTGTCTTGGGAAAGGGCGAGAGCTATTTTATGTTGCTTCTCGACACACAGCAAAGAACCCAGGTGGTTTCTGAGATTCATTTCGCGCGAGGCTCAAACAGAAAAGCCCATGGGGCACTGTAGGTTGCCATGTGGCCGCCTCGGCTCTGATCCTTCCTCCTCCTCCTCCTCCTCTCCCTCCAGTGGGAGCCAGAGTGCTCCCTGCTGGTCCTCCCAGCCCCCTCATGCCAAGACTGCTTCCAAGCTGCACTCTGGCAATAAGAAAATAAAAAAACACACAGCCACAAAACAAGATACCAAACTATAAATAACTTAAAAAAAAAAAAAACAAAAACCAACAAGTAGAACACCCAGCCTATCCCAAGTTTAGCAACCCTCTTCCCAGAGCCCTGAAAATTGGAATTCCAGACACTAACCATGCAACCACAGTGACCAACCACGAGGCTGACCTCTGTACCCTGTCTTCCCAGGGTCGGGGGGGTATCCTGATATGACTTCTCCCCCAAGAGCTCTCTGTACTCTCTTCTGGGCCCTGCCCCACATGAGGCCTGGCAGAAAATGGCGGGACTTGCCAGCTGCCTTTTGCCTCCAGTCAGGCCTGGGGCAGCCTTCACACAGGGTCATATTCTCAGGGATCCAGCCCAGCTGGGACAGAGTATTAGGGCTGCAGTCATGTGAGGGCTGGCCACCCCATTTCAAAACATCCTGCCTGCCAGCAGGGAGGACAGGAATGGACCAGAGGAGATAGCCAGGGGAAACCAAGGCGGGCAGGGGCCGCAGACTCGGCCCTTCTGGGTCTATCTTTCAGTTCAAACCTGGTCAGGAACAGGGTCATGGCCCATGACCGTGTTTCCTTCCCCATCCCCAGCTAATTCTAAAAATGTAATGAAAGGCTCCTCATTAGGGGTGTGATAGTTAAATTCTGTGGGAATAAAGCAACAGGGCAGCTTGCCTGTGTATGTGTGTGTGGATTTGGATTTCTATGTTGTTTGGGTCTATGTGTGGTATACATAGAGGCCTTATTTTTACACGTGTGTTTTATAGTTCCGTGTAGGGCTGATGTTCATAACCGGTACAGCTCTTCCATTTGTGAAAATATCGAACCGTTCTTGGTTGAAAAGCCCCAACTGCCATCCCCTGACGTTCTGGGCTGTTCCAGTCCCACCCCAGGGATCCATGCAGATTCCACACTGGATGGTGTAGAAATCCAGAAACTGAACTTTAAAGGCTGAGTACGACGGGAGGGCTGCTGTCGACTTGTCTGTGCCCACAGCCCCTTCCAGATCAACACTGGGACTCTGGCCCACAGGGTCTGTAGGCATTTATACATGTTTCTTATATTGTGTGTGTGAGAGAGAGAGACAAGAGACAGAGAAAGGCTTGTTGTCAATAGCTCTGGGCCCGGGTGCCTACTCAGGAGACCGCAGCTCCTTAGGTCCTGGCCTGGCGGCCCTCGGGGACAAGCACTGTCCCGCTCTCGGTGAGAGACCCCAGGCCACAGGCTGCGGCACGGAGGGAGCCTACTGCTCCATAAAGGCTGCCTGCCCCGCTGGAGGCCGCCCACCCGCCCGGCTGCCCTCTACGGAAGCCACCAGCTCACCGCTGGCCGTCGTAGGAGCGAGGCAGGCAAGGGCGGGTCTTTCCCAAGGAGGGGAGTGCGCGTGCGCGGGCCCGGGGCGCCTACGTGACCCAGAAGGTTCCGCGCTCCTCCAGCAGGCTGAAGGAGCGGTTGGTGAGCGAGGCGGCGTCCCGCGCCAGCCGGTAGCCAAAGAGGCGCATGGCGGGGCCGCAGGCGGCCTGCACCACCTGCGCCAGCTTGAAGGGCATGCCGAAGCGCCACTTCTCGAACTGCTCGGAGGAGTTCTTCTGCGTGGAGTAGATGCCGTTGCCGTCCTGCGCCGCCTGCGTGTTCCTCTGGATCCAGTCCTCCACCTGCGGCGTCAGGGGGATGCCGGCGAAGCGGTACATCTCACGCGCCTTCTGCAGCGGCCAGCGCGCCACGTCCTCGTAGCGCACGAGCATGTAGCGGCCGCGCAGCCAGGCGGGCTGCCGCAGCCCCAGCTCGGCGGACAGCCGGATGCTCTCGCAGTTGCCCCGCAGCCGCTGCACCTCCTCCTCCCCCAGGCGCGCCTGCCCCTCGGCCAGCCACTTCTTCCAGCCCTCGTACTTGCCCGCGAAGGCCACCATGCGGGAGGCCAGCACGGCGCGCGGGTCCCGCACCAGCTGGATGACGCGCAGGTCCAGCCGCGGGTCCTCGGCCAGCGGCTGCAGGAACTCCAGCTGCCGGATGCGCACGGCCTTGAGGGCCATGTGCTCCTTGCGGCGGCAGGCCTCGGCGGCCAGCGTCACGTTGAGGGGCCCGCAGCGGCGGTTCTTGCAGTGGTACTTCTCGAAGACCTTCTTGACGAGGGGTGTGCACACGGGCTCCTCGCACAGCGAGCGGCTGGAGCCGCGGCGGAACATGAACTGGGTCAGGTGGTCCTCGGGCAGCGGGCTGATGAAGTGCTCCAGCACGTACAGGTCGCACAGGAATAGCTGCTTGAGCACGTCGCGGTAGACCAGGGCCGAGCCCGCGGCGCTGGCGCCTCCTGACTCGAAGGACACGGTGCGCTCGATGTGCCACAGCGGCTCGAAGAGGTAGAAGATGTTGCCCTGCTGGTTGAAGAACTCGCCCACGAACGAGGAGCCGGTGCGCGTGGTGGCCATAAGTAGCACGTGGCGCCGAGGCCCGGCCCCCGGGGGTGGCGGTGGCCCCTCGTCCCCAGCTGCGACCTCGGCCTCGGCCCCGGCCTCTTCCAACGGCTCTACACCCAGCTGCAGACTGAGGTTTCGGAGGCGGCCCTGCAGCTGGGTGAAGGCCGAATCGAGCTCACTCAGGGATAAGAGGGACGCATTGTCGGCCAAGATCAGGGCTGGGTCAGTGCTGTTGGCATCAGCCAGGGGTTGCGGGATCTGCTTCAGCTTGTCTGACACCCTAGGAGGACAAAGGGAAATCGGAGTCAGCGAGTGACTAGGGACTCCATCCCTTGTGCACCCCGAAGCCAACTCCCGGGCTGATCACCCAGAGCCTATCTTAGCTGGGTCTGCCTGGAAGCTGACTTGGAGGCAAGGATTTGAGGGTTGTTAAGTAGTTTATTTGGGTCATGATCTCAGGAGTACAGGTAGAGAGATAGGAAGTGAGGGGGGTAGAAAAAGAGGTCTATAAAGGGTGATCAGGCTGTCCCTGTGGGCAAACCAATCCCCCTGGGGCCTCCTGGGAGACCGTGTAGAACACACAGGAGGATTCTCTTGCCCAAGGGACGTGAAAGGCCAGCTGGTGTTGGCTGCAGGTGTTAGCTTAACGGTGTGCAGGTAGAGAGGAAGTTTGCTGGTGGAGAGCTGCAGGGGCTTGCAGTAGGACCCTGTGGGCACAAACTGGAACAGTCCACACTGAGTGACACAGTGCCTGCTACACAGCCCAATTCCTAATCTATCCATGGTGGCTACTTTCTTGCAGGGTGTCGTGTTAAGAAAACAGGTCTAAGAAATCCTTCTGTGTTGGGGCGCCTGGGTGGCTCAGTGGGTTAAAGCCTCTGCCTTCGGCTCAGGTCATGATCCCAGGGTCCTGGGATCGAGCCCCGCATCGGGCTCTCTGCTCAGCGGAGAGCCTGCTTCCTCCTCTCTCTCTGCCTGTCTCTCTACCTACTTGTGATCTCTATCTGTCAAATGAATAAATTAAAAAAAAAGTCTTTAATAAAAAAAAAAATTAAAAAAAAAAAAAAAAGAAATCCTTCTGTGGCTAGCAGAGACACAGCAGAGACCCTGCACACACTAGTATACTGCCAACTCCAGGAGGGAAACATTCCCAGTGTAGCTGAGGTAAGTATGCACCCCTGGAATTTAGCAGTATACAACCTGGACAGCTGCACATGGCAGTCCTGCCCACCAGGGTATCTGTACCAGCAACCCCTGCATTTCCATGGGCTCACCCTCACCCATGGCTTCGGCTGGTGTAGTAGATGTGCTGTTAATGTGAGGCATCATCTTGCCAAGAAGGAAATTAGTAATAATCGCCATGGTCAGTAAGTACTGGATACCAACTGCATGCCAGCCACTGAGCTAAACGTTTTACATTTCCTAATTTAATCTTTGTAAGGAAAGCCCCATCGTTAGCCGTATTTTATGGAAGAGGAACTTAGGACACAGAAAAGTGAATTTGTCCAGGCCATCCCTACTACTAGAATGAGTCTGAATCAGGATTGCAATGCCAGGCTGCCTGAGTCCAGAGCCCCAGTGTCTCCCCTGTGCATTCCTGGGGATGTGTGCAGGACCACTGCCTGGGCACAGGAGGGGCCTATGATTATCAGTTTAAGGATGGCCTTTGTAGGTCCACAAAGAGCCCTATGGCTACCTCTTTGCCCCATCCACCCCTCCCTGATAAGGAAGACTTTCACACACTTGTATTCCTCACCTTGATATGATTTTATTTTCCTTTTCAATGAAGACAAAAACCACCACCACAAAAGCCAGGAAAAGAGCATATTTGCTCCTCATCCTCAGGCTGTGCAGAAAGTCCCGGCAGTCCTGGGGTAAAGTGAGTCCTTTCTCCATGGGGAACGGTGGGGCCGTGGGCTGTTAGCTCAGCAGCATCACTCGGGATCTGGCTTGCCGTCTTCAGGTGGGGGACATCCTCGTCCTGTGAAAAGACCTCTGGTCAGGACAACCTTGTCTGGAGGTGAAGAATGAAGAGTTTTCCCACCCAACTTTTGAGGGCCGTGGCCCAGCTTAGCAGCCAGAATCCCAGACCCACTCTCCCAATGGATGAGGTGAAATCAGGTCATTTAAAATGCTAATCAGCCGTTTAATTCATTCATCCCACTTCCATCAACTTATCCTTTGACCTCACACATAATTCATGGGCAAGGAGATGGAAAAGAATGTTCCTTAAACTAGAAATGCTTGCAACAAGAAAAGACTATAAAAACCTAAATAAAAAATGGAGATGGACCTATCATAATGATATATATACACATCTACATGAGATCCTTCACCTGGGTACTTCCAAAATCCCTCACATGGCCTCAGCCTTCGTGACATAGCCCCTCCTGGAGCAGCCAACCCCTACCTAGCTTAGGGTTCCCCCAGTCCCACCACCATGCAGACTCCCATTAGCATCTGAGACTGTCATAAGGTGAGCCGACTTGTAAGATCTGTTCACCGCTGATCATCCTTTTGTGGCATAAGGGGGTTTTGTCCAGGCCCCTCATTATCCTTTAGCACTGGGTCAGGCACACAGGAGACACCCGAGCACAGCTGCCGAACAACAGAAGGAATAAAGGAATGGATGAACCTCACCGGAAGCTATATACATTTTTAATAGCTGAGCAAATACAGCATTCCCCGAGGAGCCCATTTCTTGCATGCCTCTGCGCCATCACACACACCTGTCCTGCATCATGAACCCCAGATTCCAGCACAACACGGCCCCCTCCAACTCCATCCAAAAGTCTATGCGTTCTCCATGAGGATGGTCATTCATGGGATACTGTTTGCTCCAAGTGTGGGGAAGGCTTGTGACCTGGGTCAGTGCATCCAGGATCAGCTCTCTTCTGGAAAAGATTTCCCCACAGGAAGCAGCTGCCGTGGACGAGAGAGTAAGAGGGCAGGAAGGTAGGTGCTGGGGTCACACCTTCGTCACACAATGGAATTGACTAGAGGGACAGCCAGCGCATCTGTCCTTTGGGGAAAGCAGTGGGCCAGGGGCTCTGCAATACCAGAAGGCAGATGTGGAAGCTGGCAGCAGAGTGGTGGGCCCCGCTGTGCAGGGCAGAGGGGTGGTGAGGCTTCCCGAGTGTGGGTGTCTGAGGAGGGGCTCAGGAGGAGGGAGAGGAGACCTGCAGAGACAGCACCAGGGCAACTAGAATATTCCTGCCCCTTCCTAATTCTTCTGGGCTTTTCCCCACATATTCATTAAACAACGACTCTGTGAGCACCCACTCTGTGCCAGCCTCTGGTCTACGTACTGGGGATACAGCAGCCAGCAAGCAGAGCCAATCCCCGGCCTCATGGAGCTGACACTCGGGTTGGAAGGGCCAACTGGAATGATCTGGGGGGCTGAGATTCATTGAGCGCTTACTGCTCTGGGCCACGTGCCATGCTAAGCGCTTGATTTGCATTTCCTCCTCCGACCCTTACAGAGTCTGGTTAGGTAGCAGTTATCCCATTTTACAGATGAGGAAACGGAGGCTGACGGGTTAAGTAACTGTCCAAGGTTCCCCCAACAGGAGCTTTCATCATCCCTCCAAGACCCAGGTCATCTGAGCCTCCCAGTGCTCCCCAATCACCCCCACTATAGCATATATGGTTGGGCTTTCCAGCTGATGGTCTGCCTGCCTGTCCTCCCTTCCCAGAATCCGAGCTCCAGGAAATAGGGACCAGCATCTAGAACAGCACCCAGCATATGCCAGCTGCCCAACAAAACACAGGTGAACAAACCTGTCAAAGCTGATGCCTGGCTCGTGCCTGGCAGGCCGTCAGCGTGAGTTTGTGGAACACCCCATGGGGTATGAGGCCATCCATCTCTCTGGAAGGGTGATACTCAATGCTGAGTCTGCAGAGCAAAAGCGATTAAAATCCTGACTTCCCGCCCTCTCATCTCTTGGCTGGAGAGTTGCCTGTATCTGATGATGTGAGGGGAAGCAAAAGGAGCTGGGACCAGGAGTCCTGGGTTCTACTCCTTTCTGTGTGTCTACCATGCTGTGTAGCCTAGTAGGAGTGACTTAACTTTTCTGGGCCTCAGTTTCTTTACCCATAGCATAGAACCCCTGTACATAAGGCTGCCATGAGGAATAGTATCTGGGGCACGGTAAGTGCTCATTAACTACATAGGGGAGAAACGAGGAAGGAAAGGTAGGGGTCGGTGGAGGGAGTTGCTCTCACTGTCCTCTCCCTTCTGGGTCTTTGGTAAGATCAGAAGTTCAGCCGCCTCGATGATGAAAAGCTCCTGCACCTTCTCCTCCCCTCCTCTGCAAGCACTGTTTCTATTTTTGAGTTGCCATCCCAGTCCCCTCACCCCCCTGAATAATATAGGGTTCCTAAGAACCTTCCCAGCATTGCCCTAAAAGGAAGAAGCAATGGTAAAAACTCTTGACAGGAAACACAGGCAGGCTGCTGGTTCCTTTGCCCTGGCCCAGCAGGCTGCCCATAGCCTTAGCTCCGGAGGCCCAGTGGAAGGTGGACAGGCAGGTGAGGGAGGTTTAGAGGTCCCAGGAGCAATGTGGGAGGTCCTCAGACCCAGGAGCTGGGAGAGGGCCACAAGGGCCAGGAGGTCACAGGGTCACCAGGGAGGCAGATGGGGCCAAGACATCTGTCAAGGCTAGTCAAACCTCTGTGATGCTCCCTCCCATAACCCAGGGCACACTCTTCCTTCCTTCGCTCATGGTGAGAACGAAACAATTTTGCTTCTCTCAGCAGATGCCCCCTGCCAGTGGAGTACTCAATACCTTTCCTCCCCTGATACCCAGCAAGCGGAGTGACAGCCAAAGGAAAAGGTGGGATGCCAGCCGAGGTCCCATTTCCAGGACACCAGGGTCAATGGGGAAGAAGGCCAGAAGCACGGGTCAGCCCAGCTCTGCCAGGAGGCAGCAGAGGGTGGGACAGCTGCCCTTGGTCCAGTCATCCCCAGTGCTCAGCTCTGGAGCCCTCCCTGACCACCAACCTCCCTGGGGACCATCTCCCCTCCCCCAACACTTCCCTTCTCAGCATCTTGCTTCATTTCCTTCCTGGACAGAAATGTACTGGTTTCTTGCCAAATTCAACCACTGGTGTGTATCTTCCATGACAGGAGAGCTTTGTCCGTCTGTTCCACCCCTGTATTCTGTGCCCAGAATCCCCGTGCCCAACTCTGTCTGCATGGGGCACAGAGCAGGTGTTCGAGAATGCTTGTCGGATGAATGCATTTATGCCTTTTCCAAAGCATCTGGCCTGGCAGGAGAGGCTCACTCCTTCTAAGTTGGTAGGACACAGGAAGAAGGAACAGCAGCTGTTCCCTAGGTGAGTAAACCACGTGTGTGCTTACGGGTGTGTGCTCCGAGTATATGCCCCGAGTGTGTACTGCAGGCAAGTAACTACAAGTGTGTACCATGGGCAAAACTTCACACTTGGGGTTTCAAACATCGGGTCTCTCGAATTATCACTATCAATCCGGGATGTCATTTTGAGGATGAAGAAACCAAGCCCTGGGGCTTTCAGTTCAAGCCCCTACAGCGATGCGCTAATGATGGGAGGAGGGCAGAAAAGCCCCAGGGGTATTCCAGACAAATCTTAGCGAAGGAATAAAAAGAGAGTAGGCTGGGCTAAGGCCCCAACTCTACGCACCAACCTCCCTAACCTCCTCTCCCCTTAGGGGCCTTTCTGGCCAGGCCCCCCCCCGGCCCGCAAGGGACCCCCACTAGACAACAGTTTTCTACTTGGATGCCTCCCCTAAGGGAAGGTGGGGTCCCAGAGTCTGCTGGGAGCAAAGCTCTGATAAGGGACGGGCCCTGCCAGACATTGCATCAGGCAGCAAAACTCCACTCCCCTCACTTGCTGGGGCCCAGAGCCACAGGGCCGTCCTTCCTCCTCAAGATTGCTCACACTCCAGAGCTCCAGCTTCCTCTCCCAAGAACAAACCCCTCTAGGATCTCCTTAGGGGCATGGGCCCAACCTCAGCCAAGATAGACAGAGAAGAAGCAGCCAAAGGTAAAGGTGTGTCTCACCTGAGAGGCCGTGGATGCCCAAGAACTTGTGAGAAGCTGTGGGCCACCATCACGAGGTGGACCAGGGGCCAGAGGGCCAGCCTGGTGGGGGTGGGGCTGCACCAGCTCCACCTGGAACAGACCCCAGCTGCCCCTCAGTCCTGTTTTGCTCTGTGGGGATAAGGGGAACACACCCTACCCCCATTTGAGAGTCGCTCTATCAGGGCCTGCTCAGCCCTGTGAGCAAAGCATCCTGTGTGAACCCCAAAGCCAATCAGTGCATGAAGTACAGGGTCCCGGAGAATAGTCCTGGGCCTTCCAGCACCTCTCACACCAAGCCCAGGGCCCTGGGTGGGGTCGGTGCTGACCCTGCGCTCTGGGCTTTGCCCAGTCAAGGTCCGCAGTGGAAGCTGGTGTCCAGGATGTCCAAAAGAACAAAGTGTCCTTTCTACCACCCCCATGGACCCTGAAAAAACATGGCTCCTGTCCTAACACTGTAGAATGTCAGCACCTGAAAATTTTCTGACCTACCTTTACTCATTTTTTTTGTCTATAGAAGTTCAGGCTCGGAGAGACCAAGGCATACCAGTGGATGATGACAAAACTCTAACTACTACGTGGGTCTCCTGTCTCTCAGGTTAGTGATGGCCCTGTCCTCCTTTGTCACTCTGACTCTCATAGCTTAGCCTACTTAAAAAGCTTCATGACAGGGGCACCCGGGTGGCTCAGTTGGGTTAATCATCTGCCCTCCATTCAGGTCACAGTCCCAGGGTCCTGGGATTGAGCCCCATGTCTGGGCTCCCTGCTCAGTGAGAGGCCTGCTTCTCCCTCTGTCCTCTGCCTGCTCTTCCCCTTGCTCGAGCTTGCCCTGTCTCTGTCAAATAAACAAGTAAATAAAACCTCCTTATAGGGATGGCAAATACACGGCAGTCACACCACCACTCAGCAGTCCTGTGCCTAA